ATATATATATATATATATATATATATATATATATATATAACGCAACCCATATTCGAACGTGTTTTGCTCCCAATACTTTCTCAGAATCTCAGATTTTGACAGAAACTGAGATACTAGAACTTCGATTCATTCGAATGTAACCCACATTCGAATGTGATTTGCTCCTAGTACTTTGACAGAAATCTCAAAATCTAGATACTGAGAGTTGAGTACATTCGAACGTGGAAATCTTGTTCGAACGTAACAGGTATTATGTTTGAAATTAGTCTCTAACGACTATATTATTGTTGTAAAACTAGAAAAAATTTAAACTTTTATTAAAAATGGCAAAATAGTAATTTGTCACTATAGTATGGGTTGTAAACCTAAATTTTTCTAGAACTCGGATAACAAAATGGACCTCACCGTTGAATTCTTCTCGTAAAATCTAGCTACCCCATCAATTTTCGTCAAATTTCAAGATAGTCGGATTTTCACGTTTTATAGTCGGTAGAGTCTCAGATGACCCAAAAACGGGGATTTTAATAAAATTTTGGAAGTTGAAAAAATAAATTAAGGCAATTTAAAATAAAAATATTTTGAACTTGAACCGGGATGAAATTTAGTCATTTCGGGGTGAAAATGAACCCGAAAAAAATAGGGTCATGTGGCGTGTTGTGGGTCAAGTGTTTTAAGGGTATAAAAATGAGAGAAATATCAGATTTCTCCTCTATTCTTCAGCCGTCCACCGATAGAAGGGAGAAAGAGAGAGATCTTATCGTCTCTCTACGATCTACGGAGCTCGGGTGTTCAAATCCACTTGAACTAATAATTAAAGTTGCTTGTCTGATCGAGGGCTACACAACCACACTAAAAACGACAACTTTCACCAAAGGGTTGGAAGACGAAATTTTGGGAGGGCTTGGATTTGTGCTCGGGCTAATTTTTGAAGCTTTCCAACGTGTTATTATGCTTCAAGAGATAGGGTTCCTTCCTACTTGGGTTTATTTTATAACCTAAGGTGTGAAATTGAAATGGGTAGTTTGATAGAGATATATATCACTTACCTTTGTTTGTGAAATTGATGAAATGGGTATGTTGGTGGAAATATATATTCACTTACCTATGTTTGGGGAATTAAAATGGGTAGGTTGATAGAAATATATATCACTTATCTATATTTGTGAAATTGATAAAACTAGGTATAAAAATGATTTAAAATAAATTCCTAGCATGGAATTGGTATGTGATAATTATTTGCGTAATTCCATGAAAATTGGTATTATGTGGGCATGTTATGTGTTTATATTATGCCTTTGTGAATAAAGTATGTTATTGGCAATTATTATGTAATAACATACTTGTGGTATATTGTTGGATATAAAAATGTTGATGTATGCTTATAGATATATCGACATTGTGTTGGAATTGATAATTATATGCTTTGGATATGAATTGTCATGGAATATGTATAAATGTGATAAAATTTGCTCATATGACATTCATTACATATGGGAAAATAACATTGATATTGCAATGGTGCATTACATTGCATCTGCACGGAAGTATCACAACCATGGGCATGAGACATGGGTGTGGATATGGATGTGTGCATGATTTAATCAAACATCATACTTGGCGGTTGATGGGTGAGCTCGAAAAAGTTGGATTAAAAATCTGACTGAGTCGCACGGTTGCATGAAAAACTTGTGTCGAGTATAGCAAATAGGGCTAGACTCTCCCTCGGGGTACAAGATCCTACTACCTGGTTCAGACACTCCCCTGAGGTGAAATTTCGAAAAAGTGTCACGGTATGTGGAACGGGTAGTGCGACTCTGAGAACTCTGCTACCCAACAAAGGCACAAGGATTTTATTTTATAAAATACCTGGTTCGTACACTCTCCTGAGGTGAAATTTCAGAAAAGTGTACTTATTTTATAAAAATTATCATTCGATGTATAACATCAATGGCGGGTTTTTCATACATTAGCATTGCATTGTGTGGTGGGAGCCGATGAAGGCTCAAGTTCAAGTGCATGAGTGAGTCTCGTCTCATTTCATGGCATGACATGATAGAATTCCAACATTTAATTGCATATTCTTGTTTAGAATGATTCTTTCCATGTTGAATGTTATATGTGCGCATTTCACATATATCTAGGTTGAAAGAGTAGTCTCTGTAGAAAATATTTTACTGGATGTGGCTCACCCTATACGGAAAAATATTTCAAGTGTGGGGTTCATACCGGCGGAGGACTCTCATCCGGAGCCCTAAAGATGAAGAGGGCCGACTTGTGGCTTTTATAGCACATTTTTGTGTAATTTTTGTGAAAATTATATTTTGGCTTGTAAAATCATGTAAACTAATGTAATAGGTATGAACCTTGTGTTCTATGAAAATTGTCATTACACGTGTTGGATGGAAAAGGGGATAGGTTGGAATAAGTTGGAAATGAAAAACAGATGAAACAGGCAAAAGTTAGCAAAACATACCAGTAGGGTGTAACGGTATGACGAGGTCCAGTGGGCAACTCATACTGGTAGGGCATCCCGGTACATCTTCTAAAGCATACCAGTAGGGCGTACTGGTAGGACGAGGTCCAGTGGACAACTCATACTCGGTAAGGCCTATCGATACACCTTCCAAAAATCTGAAATTTTTAAAACTGTTTTGTCAGGCTTTTGGACTATGGGTTCTTTGGTCCCAATGATATAAATGAACTATAATGGAGCATGAAATGTGGTACATTGGACCACGATTTTATTAAATGATAAAATATAAATGGATTACACGTATGGATGATGATCCCGATTAAGAAGATATTTTTGATGTGATGTCAGATTGTGCGACAAACAAGGGTACTTCCGTGGGTTGACGGGTGGTCAACGTTTGAATAAGGATTCCAGGTTTTAGGGGCGTCACAATTGCAACTCTTTCAAGGGGCGTCTTCTGCCATGGTTTTGAAGGGTTACACTTGTTCATTAAGAGATGCATAGAACACTATAAATAGGGTTCAAATGCAAGAAGAAAGTATCAACAATTTAATCATTCTACTTCTTCTTGATTCAAAGCTTCTATATTTTATGATTTTCTATTCGGATTGAGTTTTGATTCCAAGATTACAAAAAAGTGCAGTCTTTTATAATCTTAAAGTTAGGCATTGTATCTTAGGGTTAAAATTTCTAAGAGTCCATCTACATTGTAAGAGGGAAAATTAATATCCCGAAGATAGCGAGTATCACGCCTTGCCTAGCAATCTATCTTCTTCGATTTTGATTTTTTGCTTTTTTATTACTTGAAATTGTTTTACCACATTGTATTCTACAACATAATATACATTCTCTTATCATATTAGAAACACTAATGTTATTGGTACATAATTTGAAGACTTAATGTATTATAATCATTAAATTGATAGAGTTGTGACCCAGTGAAAATTTAATATTAGGATCATTGACAATCTAATGACCACAATTATTTAGTCTCCAAATTATGTCTCAATAACATTGCTCTATTAGAAAGCCAGATTTGAATGTGCGTTGTTCAATACTAATAAGTAGCAAGATAAAGACTCTAGGGGTATATCTGTTGTCTGGACTATGCGCACTCTTTCCATCAAAAAATTGTGAGAAATGAAGTCCAAGTTTTGCTAAATGATATACACGATATTCACCGTCTCCCAGAACAAGATCTCGACTAATAAAGTCCTCAAGAACGGTAAGGAAAAAGAGTGCTTTGTGAAAGGGAGAATTAAGTTCGTTCCAGAATTCTAAAGATGTCTTTGGTTCCCTCTATGCCGCATCAAAATCAGGTGGTAAACAAGGGTATATATTTTCCACTTCATATGTAAGACTTAAGTAGGGATGGACAAACTTCTCATGTCAATACTCCAATACAATATGATCAATTTATTTGAAAGGTCAAGCAGTAGCCGAACTTGAAAATCAATGTTGTCCCATTGTTAGGTTGTTCTAGCCTGTCCATCGAAAGCAAGATTTCAAAAATTATTTAGTTACACTTGGTGGTTATCACAATATTATAAAATCTATCAAACAGTAATATTATGTTGATCGAATTTTGGGATCAAATTTACAGCTCAAATGACATGACAGCATATTATTTTGAGTCTTTATTGGTATCCAAATGACATGACACCAAAATAGTTTCTCCAACCTTGGAAGGTAGATCAGCAAATAGTTAGGTGGTTAGCGGAAAACCCTAGTGACTATATTTAATGCGTGACAAACCATAAAAGATAAATATTAAGCAGAAAAATCAAGTTAACCAAAAAAGCTAATAAGAAAAACTACAATTAAGGCTACTCTCGTTCTTTCCTCTCTCTCACTCACCTCTATGTACTTTCATTTTCTTCCCCCTTGTATCTCTCCCAAACCCTCCAATCAGAAACTGCACCTAATCGCCTCTCAATCATTCTCTTTCCTCTCTGGGCTTTTGAAAAATTCTCTCTACTTTAAGCGACTTTGTATGAGCTCGCACCCTCATAATGGCGGCAAGGGGTATGGGTTGGCGAGGTGAAATGGGGAGGCCGGTTCGGAGTGGTAGTTTGGGAGAGGTCATTCACGGTGGATGTAGTCAAATGGAGGAGCTATGTGGGGGCCTGGCTGGGAGGATAGCGGTGTGTGGTGAGGTTTGTTGGGGGGAGGGCTGGATACATAATATCCCTCGTGCATTGCACAAGTTAACGCTAGTTATTGCTTATAGCACAGTGATTCGGGTGTCACCAGCACTATGTTACTTTCCTCAAATCGGGTAAATGCTGAAACATTTGTTTACTGACATATTAAACTTCTTACCCGCAAAATACAAAGCACTTGTGCTATGCAAACAATAAAACTACATCTATATTGATAGTTAGCAAGCTATATTAATAGTGTCCATTTCTGATACACCAACAGTGAAAGAAGGTCAGTACTACATCATCATGTTGTTGCTTGAGCATTAAAAGAAGCATAATCGACAACCCGGATTGGAACTTCTTACAGCTAGTCATGACAGATTGTTTGAATTATGGCGAGATCTGAAACTTTTAATAGCCGGTCATGATAGATTGTTTAAATTGTGGCAAGATCTAAAATTCGAAACTTAAACCTGCTCCAGCAGTTTCAGATTTGTTATGCTTTTTTTTCTAAATCTACATGTTATTAGAAGAAAAACATTCCAAATATTACCTAGTCCACCTGCCTAAGTCCCTAGTCAACAATCCAGCAATCAACTAGATAAAAGAATCCTTTACTGGTTATATACGACACCAAAAACTTATTTGCATTCGTAGATCTTAATTTAATTTATTTAAGTTCATTGATCCAAAATAACAAAGTAAATAAATAATAAAATAATAAAACTTTACACATATCACAGTCTAATACTAAAAAAATAAGTTTGCGGCATCTAATTGAACACGCATCAGCATGTACAGATTCTCACTAGTGACTAGTACCATTATGTTGTTTTAATATAGAAAACTCACTGCAATCTACAAGGAGTAGGTTAGAGCTTAAGTGATCATGAGACTAAATACATTTTAAGAAGGTTATATATTCTCTATTCCATTTTTGTCATTGTGTCCCGTTGCCATGCCCTTTCTGCTTACCAGAATTAGGTCATGATAGAGCTCTCAAGTCCTCTTATGGGGCCATTGCTTGCTTTACTTATTTTTAATGATTTGATTTGTTTGGTCCCCAGAACTCTATCTAGGGATAAGTGCCATTCAAGAAATCAGTTAGTGTCCATATATTTAATATTTTATACGTATCCAATTATAGGACTTCCTTATTGTAAAAGTCATCTATTGAGTGCATATCAAAAATCCAAGAATATTTTCAATGAATTATACACACAAGGTAATATTAGGTGGTGTACACACAATGAGAAACATTAGTAACTTGTGGGAAACACATTGATTTATTCTAATACACTGTTTTAATTTTATTTAATGGTATATCAACAAGTGTGTATGAGTTAGTGACTCTTTTATAAATAATAAATTTCCATGAATTCAAGGTAGATGATTTACCTAATAGCAAAAAAAAAAAAAAAAGTAGATGAATTACCATTGATAGAAATTGGGAGTAAACAATGGGACAATCATCTATTAATATGGTTATTTCATATTGCTGTGTTAGATATGAAATACTGGATTAAGAATCCTAGTGGTCATTTTCATATATTCCAAATTGGTAGTGTCATGTTGAATATATTATTTCCATGAACTAAGAAATGGCAGAAGTCTTACTAGTATCATGAGGCCTATAGGAATCCAGACATGGAGTAACTTAAAAGACACATGCACTAAAGATAGGGTCTTGTAGGTCAGCTTCAAAATTACCATGGAAAACAAGTCAAACAACAAGTAATTGGGCAGAAAGCACTATCGAAAAAGGGAATATAGAAACCTAAACAAAGGGAAGACATAAAAAAAAATGGAAACCTATCAAAAAGAAGATCAAAGCCAAACAGAAGTTTCAAGACCAACTAAATCTTGCACAAAAAAATAATTAGGCCCCTTTTCACTCAAATAAATGTAAAAATATGTTAAAAATCTTGAGAAAAAATTGGGTCTACTATCCACTCATGTACACACAAGTGAATGGAAGAAATCGTTAAATTGTATTGGGTTGTAATTTTTGTTAGAATTTTATTGGGTTTTATTTTGATTATTTGCACAAATTGACCCTAATCATTTTAGTCTTTTGAATTCAAGACATGTGCAACAACTAGTGAGTGCATGTTCCTTTTTCGTAACTTCGACGACATGTGACTAGTGATTGAACTTATTCTTTCGATAACTCNCCTATTTCTTGCTTTTTCACCTCCCCTTATTGGTGCACTCTTTCCCCCAATTCACCGATAGAGAAGAAAGAGATAAGCAATGACCGGACTAGACCAATGAAAGCGGACCAAGGTTTTTATTCGTTAGCCAAGCGCGCCTATTACAGCGCCTCTATTACAGAAGCGAAAGCGATGTGCCCTATTGACCAGCCGAAGAGCATCCTTATAAATGAATGGGAAGCAGGCCCGGTCTATATTGCTAGAGTTATGTTTATTTCACCCCCCACGTACTCCTCTATTCTTATATTTGAATTCCGTCTCTAAGCTTCCCCCTTAGTGCCTGCTGAGACTTATTTCCTCTCGACTATAGTTGAATGGAAGTTTCATTTCCTAAGTCTCAAATAATGTCTTTTATTGAGTCCCCATAGTGCATTCCCTTACATAATCTGTAGAGTCATTTTTCACTAAGAAGGATTGCAATATAAAAAAGAGAATTCCAGATTGAACTTGACCCATATAGGATCCAGTTCTACATCTTAGCGCTGAACTAATGAATAGAGATTGAGCTTCACTTCGCGAGTCGGGAATGGCATCATTTATGAAAAAGTTCTAGCGTTGACAAGAGATGAGCTAAAGAGGTGGCCGGGCAGTTGACCAGGCCCTACCACATAATTATATGTTGGGCAGCAAGCAAGAGCTGCGTCGGCTTATCCGGAAAAGAATCTATATTCTTGCCACCCTAAATGCTACTACCTCTTTGCTAAGCACAGGAATGCTTGATCGAGAAAAGCAAGCAAAGAAGCAGCAGGATACGGAATATGAAGGGGCTGGGGGTAGAGCCAATGACCAATTGAAGAGTTAGAGACTACAGTATAAAGCCCTCAATCATGCTCTTGCCAGTAGAATAGATTGTATATACTCTCGCCGATTAAGGAGAATTCTGCGCTCCACGAAAAAACATAGGGGTCGTCCTTATTACCGGAATTGCTTAAGGAAGGAAAAACAAAAAGTGCCCCTATGACTCTGGTTCTAGTGAAAGCGATGAAAATATAGCTGTGCTCCAGTTTTTCGGGTAAAAGTTCTATACGGTGAAGAGCTTACTTATGAGCAAGGCGACCTTATTAAAGAGAACATTCGGGACATCAAAGCCGATGCGATGGTAATCTCGTCCTTAGTTGCCGAAGATAATGGAGGTTTCAATCCGACGGATCAACCTTAATTGGCAGGTAAAATGAGGCCTCGACGGAGATGATGGATGGGAACTCCTACTCTGACTATAATTGCGATCTCTAAGCGGGATTTTCAGTCATCTATCCTTTTTCTTTCCCTAGCGACTGAAGTGCCCCATAAGCTATAAGGGCGAGCTATATGTAACAATTCCGTGAGCAGCGATTGAACTGAACGTTCCAAGTGCATCCAGCAGGAATCGAACCTACGAATTTGCCCAGTTGGGCGCTTTAACCATTCAGCCATGGATGCAAAGAGACTCAGCGAGTGAACTAGGTTTTGGTATTCCTTCTCGAGCTTCTATTTCTTCCGTTAAAGGAGATTCGAGAAAAGATGGAATAGGAAGACGTGTTTCCAGAACGAACAAGATACGGGTTGAGAAGGGGGAGTTAGCAAAGTTAGACAAGATTGGAATGGGCATAGGAACATGTATTGATGTACCAGATCGGCTAATGCTCCCAGGTTGATGCGATGTATTCCACCAGTTGACTGAAGACTTGATTATTGGTATATCGATCGGTCCAGCACGGATTGAAATAGAAGCCGGTTCGACAGGAAGCTTTTGAAAACGCAGTGCACCCAAGTAAATAAGGAACGAGATGAATATAGAGGTTAAACGCGCATCCCACACCCGAAAGGTGCCCCACATAGGTCTTCCCCGAAACCCCCCAGTAACTAAGGTAAACAACGTAGAAAAAGCACCCATTTCTGTACCGGTTCCGGAAGAGCGAAGAAAAAGGGGATGTTTTGTTAATAGGAACAAGAAAGTGTTTATAGCCGTAGCGATATAAACAAGAATACTCATCCGAGCCGCAGGAACATGTACATAGAGAATACGAGAATTTCCACCTTGTTGAAGATCTAGTGGTGCTACCCGAAGACTTAAATGAATAGCCATCGCTGTTAAGAACAACCGAGATCCAATGAGAATTTTCGCGTAGCTTCTGGTCTTTGACATCAAAAAAGAAGGTTGTAATAACGAAACGGACATGTGAGAATTTGGTCCTAGCTAGTGGAACAAAAAAGACATGGATCTATATTCAATACGCAATCAAAGGATTTCCCCCCCAAAAATCGAAGAATTCCCCTTGCTTTGTTTTCGCTCCGCTCGTGCGTGGCACTCCTTGCTCGCGGAGCGGCATACCGAAAAAAGAAAGGTTTTGGAAGACAAAAAAAGAGATTCCCTTTTGTGACCAAGAGCCCATCCTTGATCCAAGCCGAGTTTTGCATTCCTTAGCTTGGTGCAAAAGGCTTCTCGCCTTTGGGTCCTTTTTCAAGCCCATCTCGAATACGATGCAGTAGGGTACTCGTGACCCTGCTGGTGGCTGCCACTGCCTCACACTTAAATGCCGCCAGCTCTGCCTTCCTACTTAAGGCATCCGCGACCTGGTTGGTCCGTCCAAGCTTATCCTCTAGCACCATATCAATCAAACTTGGCAAGTTTGTCTTGCTTGCCATCGTCCCTGTTTTGGCGTGAGTTTCTTCTGGGTCAGGAAGTCACTCGTCGCCACATTATCCGTCTTGAAATTGTTTGAAATTGCGAAATTGTTTTAAAATTGATTCGAGTTAGCCTGAAAGTGATTACTATTAATTTAATTGCTTATCTATGGAAATATATTTTCGATAATATTATTGATAACATTATCATACAATCCTTTCAAAATCTGAAAAATTATCGGGGTCTACTGTGCATGGTTGTAATTAATTTCATTTTTTTGCAAAAGATTGTAATTAGCCTTTTTTTTATGAGTATTATTTTCATAGACTACATATATTGGCGTTTGATCATTTTGTGTTTAATGAGTTTTTAAAATATACAAATTTATTAGAGAAAATATTAAATTTTATAAGTTAAGGGTGCCCACCTTAAAGTAAATTTTCGACTCCATCCAGGTGATATGTATATTTTGACAAAACTATACAGTGGGTACCATTTTATAAAATGATCCCATTTACAATAATGAAATAAAAGAGTAAAATAATTGTTTGCGGGTGTCTGAAGGCCTTATAAGCTCTTTTTGGGATGTGCAATGAATGCGTTGTGTACGATTTTCATTGTCTCTGTGATGGGATATGAGCACATTGCGAACCATTTTGTCTGAAGATTCTACTTTTCAATAAATCTTGAAACATAATGTCAACTTTTTAACAAATCTTGAAACAGACTGCTGGATTCCACTTTAGCTACCACAGTGACTGTTGAAAATCTTGTACAACTAAATACTCTATATAGCATCTTTAAAAATAAAAGTTATTTTAACTATTTAAAGGGCAATATTTTTAATTTTAATTACTCATTTTTTTAATATACATTCTAACAGGTGTTATATATTTTTAACCACTCCTGTTGAATATTATGTCTCCTTTGTTTTATATTATTTTTTTTAGAAATAGTGAAAGGAAGAAAGAGAAAGAATGGAAAAAAAGAGAAGAAAGAGAGAAAATATTATAAATTTTTTCACATATCGTTAGAGAGGTACTATAAATATAGAATATTACTGTATCAAATTATTATTTTAAATGTTTTCAAAATAATCTGTTGAAATAAAATTTTTAAGTCAAACAACTAAAATTTAAAAATTTTGTATCCTTTAACTCATCTGGCAGAGATGTTCTTGAGTGAATAAAACAATTGTTTGTGGCTGTCTTCTTTCTATGATGAACAATGAGTGCATTGTGAACGATTCTCACTCTCTACGTGATGGAATATGAGCGCTTTGTGAACCTTTTTTTTTTATTTTATAACTTCAACTTTTCAACAAATCTGGAAACAAAATATTCAACTAGACAACATATCTTTTGACAAAATATTAGCTACTTTTAGAATTTGACTCAAATTTCTTAGTTATCATCGATGAGAGTTTGTTAGATAATCAATGTGAGAATTGTATATGAAATAGGATTATATTAGAAGAGTTTTAATATACCATAAATAAGTATGTTAGATATGTAATAGAAAAAATAAAGATCAAGTTATATCTAAATAGATTTGGGTTACAGTATTTTATTATTATAAATAAGGTTGAGTATTATGTAATCAATTATCAGATGACCAATTTTTTAATAAATTATATATCGATATAGATTCTTGGTCCGTGAATGTAAGTACGGTGTACTAAAGTGAGTATGTTGTATCAAATCACGTTATATCTTTGTGTCATATCTTTTTTCTTATCTTTAATTTTAATTTTACAACAAGTATTATTTGTGTTAATTATCCACTGTGCAAAACCAACAAGTGGTATCAGAGCCCAATTGACATTCTTGGTATAACAATCAGAGCTAGATTGATGTTCTTGGTAAAACAATTAAAGCTACACTGATGATCCTGGTACAACAATCATAACAAGTTATTATCGATTCAATTATCAAGTTGGTGTTCATGTTGAAGAATACTCTCTTGCCATGTATGTCCAATTCATATTTAGATTCACTAAAAAAAACAAAAAATTTAAGTTGGTATGAAATCAAACGGAAGACTAAGTTGCTTCCTCATTGTTTGGATTTCAAGAGTTACTACACGTGCTTTGTTGAAGATGTTTCTTCAGTTTTTTTTTTTTTTGCTCTTAAAGTTGAAGTCGCGGTATTCCAATGACTTGAGAGCAATTAAGCTGACATAAACTCTCAATAGTAATAATTTGATATCTTGTGGGTTACGAGTCACTATGCTCTTACTTTTAAATGGTGAAATATTTACCATTGAAACCTCCCAAGAGTAGGTTAAAATGCGGGGCAGAGATGGGCATATGACGCAGGCTAAGATGCAGGCTCTTGAAAGACAGAGAGGATTGTGGCGACTCTGAAAAAAGCATATTTGCACGTAGTGCTTGAAAAAATTGGTAAATTAGAATTAAGAGTGATAAACTCGATCTTGGGCATGGCTAAATTTGAAAAGTTTAGTTCAAGGGAGGCTGTTGAAATTTGACCCAAATTCCCTAGTTATTATGAATGAGAGTTTGTTGGATAATCAATAGGAGAATCTTATATGAAATAAGATTATATTGGAAGAGTTTTAATATACCATAAATAGGTACGTTAGACGTGTGATAGGAAAAATAAAGATCAAGTTGTATCTACATAGGTTTAAGTTACAGTATTTTTTTCCTTATAAATAGAGTTGAATATTATGTAATCAGTTATTAGATGACCAATTTTTCAATGAATAATACGTCAATGTAGATTTTTGATTTGTGGATGTAGGTACGGTATACCGAGGTGGGTAAGTTGTATCGAACCACGTTATATCTTTGTGTCATATCTTTATTATTTTCTTATCTTTGAATTCTTTTCTTCTAACAAGTTATATTTATGTTAATTATCCACAATGCAAAACTAATAAGTAGTATCAGAGCCAAATTGACGCTCCTGGTGTAACAATCAGAGCTAGATTGATGATTTTTGTAGAACAATCAAAACTAGATTGATGATCCTGGTGCAACAATCAAAACAAGTTATTAGTGATTTAATGATCTAGTTGGTGTTCATGTTAAAAAATACTCTCTTGCCACGTATGTACAATTATATTTAGATTTACAAAAAAAGAAAAAAATTAAGTTGGTATGAAATCAAACGGAATACTAAGTTGCTTCTTGATTGTTTGGATTTCAAGAATTATCACACGTGTTTTGTTGAAAATGTTCTTCAATATTTTTTTTTGGCTCTTAGAGTTGAAGTCGCAGTATTTCAATGGTTTGAGAGCTATTGGGCAGACATAAACCCAATAGTGATGATTTGGTGTCTCGTGGGATACAAATCACTATGCTTTTAATTTTGAATGGTAAAACATTGACCATTGAGACTTTCCAAGAGCAAGTAAGACGCGGGTAGAGATACACAGATTATGCAGGCCAAGACGCAGGCTCTTGAAAGGCAGAGAGGATTGTGGCGATTTTGAAGAGCAGGTTTGCATGGAATGCATGAAAAAATTGGTGAATCAGAATCAAGGGGTGATAAGTACTATCTTGGGTATGACAAAATTTGAAGAGTTTGGTTCAAGAGAGGCTGTTGGAATTTGACTAAAACTCTCTAATTATCATAAATGAGAGTTTATTGGATAATCAATGTGAGATTAGTGAGAGTTTGTTTGATAATCAATGTGAGAATCCTATATGAAATAGGATTATATTTAAAGAGTTTTAATATACCATAAGTAAGTATGTTAGACATATAATAGGAAAAATAAATATCAAATTATATCTAAATACATTTGAGTTACAACATTTTATCCCTATAAATAAAGTTGAGTATTATGTAATCAGTGATCAGATGACCAGTTTTTTAATGAATAATACATTAATGTAGATTTTTGGTTTGTAGATGTAGATATGGTGTATCAAAGTGAGTCTGCTGTATCGAATCATGTTATATTTTTGTGTCATATCTTTATTATTTTTTTATCTTTGAATTTTTATCTTACAACAAATATTATTTGTGTTAATTATCCACTGTGCAAAATCAACAACCGCCAGAGTGACTCTTGAAAAACTTGTACAACTAAATACTCTACAGACTATATTTCCTGGGTGAGGTGGCCAATAATCCGTTATTCAGCAAGTTGTTGACTGTAGGGATTGCCGACAGCAGATGGCAAATAATTGCACAATTTAACTCAGTTGAACATTACTAGTTGCTTTTGAGGCATGTGCTTGGTGTCTTATCTACTGACTAAGTGGAAATATTTGACTATAAATCTATATTCATCGTTGTTGAGCAACACAGTTAAGTTTGTAACAAAATTGCTTGAGTGCAAGAAACCTCAAAAATAGACGACAAGATGAGCGGTAGAACGTAGACAAATTCCAGTAGGACCCACGTGGAAGATTCCCTATCTGATGAAATTGACAACTACCTAGCTATTACCTAAATCTCCGGCCTTCAGAAAATGCACTCATTATCATCACTATTGATTTGCTTGTTTTTTTATGATTTGATGCCATTTGTGAGCCAGTCCCAAGAATTCTATCTGGAGATATGTGCAATTCAAGAAACGAAATAGCTTTGGCGTCAGTGGATTTGAATTTATGAAGTTTTCTTTGATTCTCCGATGGTGTTAGATAATTTGCATATAAATATTTTTTTTTGTATTCAAAATCTCTTTTGGTGTAACTTGGATGTTAAATGTACGGTCTTCAGTAACCATTCTAA